TTTCCCTGGCAGTTTCTCCCCTCTAGGAGCAGAGCACCGGGGTGCTCTGCGACAGTGGGCATAATGTCAAGATTCAAACAGGGCTAACAAATGTCAGAGTAGGCAACAAACCCAGGTGTTCTACCCAAAATGTCTTTCACTGGGAAAATCTGCTCAGTGTTGTAGACTGTATGCTTATGCATGCAGTGTGAGAGCAGGAGGTGGGGCCTGAGATAATTAGTGCAAAGCTGTCTGCCAATTCCATGCCTACCCATTTAGCCCTATTGGCCATCTGTAAAGGCTCAAGAATTACACATCAGGCTCAAAATATCACAAGGTTTAAAAGCAATAATCTTATGTTGAGTTTTTTAGTCTGTTTTATGATTTGGATCTACCTGTGCCCTTATTAGCATTATCAGCCCTTCCCAATGCCAGAGATCTCACTTCTACACTTTTCATGGCTTCAATTCTCTGTTGTGGCTGACCAGAGGCATCAAGGCACTTTGGCAATGGCTGTGAGCAACTTCCTCAGCCTCTACTGTTTTGCAAGTGCGCAAAGATATCTGTGAGAACTGGAGCTTCTTCAGAACCAACTCTGTGGTGGCTGCAAGACTGGACAGAGAGGCTGGTGATTAAGGTCACCTTACTGAATAGCACACTAGCTAAATATTTCCTAATACTGCCTAAATATTAGGGCTTTTTGACACCAGGAATATTACAGTTTAATTGCCATAATCTGATTATGTGGGGGTAACTTCCCACATGGACCCTAGTATTTCAGAATAAAAATGCCTTTTATGTTTTCATATTATGCTACTTTGGAGGTGGTATAAACTGAAACAGCAAAAGCAGTCATCCCAGAATAAGAATGTCCATACAGGGAGTTAGAGTAGTAGAATTAAACCAGTATGCTTCCCCATGTAATTGGGGGATGTAAATTCCCCCAATTTATCAGCACTTAACAGCTAACAGATGCAGAAAGAGAAGATATAAGTAGATGGCTTAGAAAAATACCTTCTGCCTAAGCAAAATATAAAATATGAGCAGCATATTTCCACAACACATGCTCAGACTCAAATGGAAGCAACAGAGTGATATGCAATAGGTTGTCCCAGTCAATGTGGTTCACTTGCACAGTATTTCATTAGAAGTTGTTTTTGTTTCTAGCAAGATGCTTGAAGCAGAGGATATATACTCTTATGTCTTTGAGTTAGACCTTAATCAGGCTCATGATATGTGCTGCTGAGAGAAGAAGCAAAGAAATGACCACAAAAACTGAAGGTATTAGGAATGACCAAAGCATCAGCATGCACAAAATAGAAGTCAGAGACAAAAAGCAAGAACAGAAGAACACGATTCAAAGAAGGGCAAGAACAAGCAATACAGTGTGGCAGAAAACAGGAAAAATGAGAGTGTCTAGAAGTGATGCTATATGTGGCTTTACAAGGAAAAAATAATTTTTTTTTAAGAGAATGCAACCAGTAACAGAAACACCCTTCTAATGCACACCAAGGGAGGAGTGAGGATGATATGCTCTCAGATAACACCTCATCACCCACACTAAGGCCACAAAATGCAAAGTTAACTTAGTGGGCTGCAAAACAAAAAAGCCCATGTTTTCTATTGAAAAAAATCCCTGTTTTCCTGGCTAGCAGCAACCAGCCACTCAAACAGTGGTCAGAAATGCAACTAACTTTGATTTCTTTTTATTTTTTTGTATATTTTCTGCCATCAGTCAGCTCCACTGTGCAATGGAAAATGTGCGACTGCTGTAACAGCTTTGAGAAAAGGCCCCTTTGTCATCCCACAAACCTACATCCAATTGGACATGATTTTGATCACTGCTAAACAAATGTCTGGCACTGCATTCTCAAGGCTGCTATTACAGATAATGGACTTTAGATTGCCTGCCAGAATTTTGCTTATTTTGCAGCATCAGCAGAATGCCAATGTATCACATCTGGACACCACCACAGCTGGGCCAACAGCAAAGCAGACGCAGCTGTCAAGACTGTCAAGAAACTACTGAAAACAGGACAGTGAGGTAATCAAGCCATAGATAGGGACAGTTCTGCTCAACTGGAGAGCTACAGCAACAGAAGGCATGGACATCAGCCCCTTTAGTCATCTTGTTTCACACTGAACCCGGAGCAAACAAACTTTTGAAGCCAGCAGCAGTGGGAAAAGAGACCGAACAAGTTACACAGCAGTGACAGCAAGTCAGACAGTGCAGTGACAAAAGGCCCAAGGAGCTCCCTGAGCACCAGTTAGAATAGCCAGGGTCCAGACAATTCCTAATGTATATAAAGAGCAGCACCAAGCCTGTACACAGCAATAAGATAAGGATAATTCTACCACTGCAGCTATGGTTTCCTAAGGGCAAACAAAAAATATTGTCCTTGCAAGAAGGAGTTCCACCACATTGAGGCATACACAGTTAGAACTAGCAGCTGCTATTAAATTGCCTACTAAGTTCATAGTTAATTGAAATAAAGTCTGAGCCACAGGGAAGAAACAAAGCAAATGGGTTTTCCCAAAGACATGCGACAGTCTATGTAATCAGGAACCCAAGATGTTGGTGGACAGCAACTGAGGTGTTCCCAAGAGTAGCTTGGCATATTTCAGGAGCTATAATAGCAAAAATTCAGGGTTATACTGATGCATTCAGAGCAGGAATAGCCACTCCCTCTGATCCATACTGGCAGGAGCTGTGCTGAGTCTCTTGGGCAGTGATTCTCAACAAGGGTGCCGCAGCACATTTGGGTACTGTGAGATCCTGTGAAGGGTGCTGTGGGGTGCTGTGCAATATTAGCACTGTTAGGTATGTAAACACCTACACATGATTCATAAGTTAAAACCAGAGATTTCAAATACGAATCCATAGTCAAAAGCACTCTGACCTGTTGTGATTTTTCTGAGTTCTTTGCAACAGAAGATTTGCTCTATTATTTTTCCATAGTCAAAAAATGAGTGAAAAATAAGAGCTGGCATTTTCGAAGGGGTGCTTTGAGTCTAGAAAGGTTGAGAACTGCTGCTCTAGGCACTGAGGTGCTCTTAGCACAGAACTAATGACGCACATCAACCTCACCCACCCAACCTCTCTGTACCCTCTGGGATCCAGCCGTGGTTCTCGTGCTGGTCCAGCCAGATGATATTGGGATCGTAGCATCCTTGCGTGCGTCGGATCTGACAGAACATATTAGCCTTCTGGGAGGATAGCAGGGCAGAGAAAAAGACCTGGTACTCGCTGTCAGACAGTGGGGTACCTGGAGCTGGGGGTGACTTGCCACAGAGAGGCAGCGCCAGCGAGTGCAGAAAAGCTGTGAAGAAGGCAGGACAAGGAGAAGAAAGCCATCAGGCACAGTAAGGGAAATAAAAAAGTAGCTTGTAAACCTGTCAGTCCCCTTTGCTTCCTCAACCAGTAGCTTGGGCCAATAGGCCCATCTGGCCTGAAATTCCCACCTGTCCTCCACATTGGCCAGGCCACAGTAGAACTGTACATCAGAGTTAAGAGGTTTTTCCACAGATCTTCAGAGCCACCCCATTTCCTTTGGATCTGGGTGCATCTGTGAACAAACTGAGCCAGCCAGTCCAGCAGACCTGGTGCCAGGGCCCTAGAGTGAAAGCCTCGATACCATGCCTCCATCTCCCCAAGTCAGCCAGTGCCTTTAACACAATTATCATTAGCTGTGCCTGGTATGTGTTTGGCCCCTACAGCTCTCAGGGCTCATGCTTAACAACAAGGGCTCTGACCTTGTAGCATTTCCTCCTTGTTCTCAAGCCACAGTCCCTTTCTGAGAGCTCCTAGGCTTCCTAACAAAAGAACTAAGAGGGTGAAGTGTATGGAAATGGGGCCACCTAGTGTTTAGGGCTGGAGGATGTTTTGGAAGAGCAAGGGGCCTAGGAGGTGTGCTTGCTTGAGGAAGGGGCTTCCCAGGAGTCTAATCCCTTTGAGGAAAGATGGCCGCATACATCCTCTTAAGTAGCTAATATATGTACAGCACCACAGCTCATGGGTTCAGGGGTTCGAAGTGGCCCCTGACAGGGATGAGGCAACCTGATCAGGAGAGGGGTGAAGGGTGTCTGCAGGTTACTCACCCACCAGGAGAGCATAGGGCAGAAAATGGAGCCCCATCATTTTTCCACTTTAATGCCAGCCTCCAACCCACACCAACAGCTCCTGTTTCAAAGGGCAATATGGAAAGAGAACACTGCGACCTCACAGTTGACCTCACAGTCGGAGCCTTGGGGACATGCCCACGGGGGGGGGG